CTCGGCTTCGGATACCATATTTTCTATCTCAGTAGATGAAAGACCCGAAGAGGCAGTGATCGTAATCGATTGGTCTCGATTTGTGGCTTTGTCTTTGGCCGAGACGTTCACGATACCGTCGGCGTCAATGTCGAATGTCACTTCGATTTGTGGGACTCCCTTGGGTGCCGGTGGAATGCCGTCCAATCTGAAATTGCCCAAAAGTTGGTTGTCGCGGCAGAACTCACGTTCACCTTGATAAACACGTACGTCCACTTTTCAACCGAGATATGCAATTGGTCGATTAGACTTGTCAAATCAAGTATAGCTATGCACGTGGTCAAAAGCAATTTACATACCTCCATTTTGGCCGTCAACTGCGGTCGAAAAGACTTGAGATTTTTTAGTTGGAATGGTAGTATTACGATTTATCAATCTAGAAAAGACACCTCCGAGAGTTTCGATACCGAGGGAGAGGGGAGTTACATCTAACAGTAAAATATCCGTGACACTTCCAGAGAGTACACCTCCTTGAATTGCAGCACCAAGAGCTACGGCCTCATCGGGATTTACACTTTTGCTTGGTTCCCTGCCAAACAACGATTTCACCGTCTCATATACTTTTGGCATTCTGGTCATACCCCCAACCAGAATCACCTCGTTAATTTCCGAGGTTTTAACTTGAGAATCTGATATCGCTTTCTTACAAGGTTCAATTGTTCTCTCGACCAGATCCTTGGTTAAAGCTTCGAACTTTGATCTGGTCAGTTTCATGTTGATGTGTTTTGGACCGGATGCGTCGGCTGTGATGTAAGGTAGATTAATGTCAGTTTGCACGGTCGAAGAGAGTTCAATTTTCGCTTTCTCGGCGGCTTCACGAATACGCTGTATGGCCATTCGATCACCGCTCAAATCGATCAACTGCTCCTTCTTGAAATCTTCAACAATAAATTTCACCAACGCAGAATCAAAATCTTCACCGCCAAGGGCCGTGTCACCATTCGTGCTCTTCACCTCGAACACACCATTTTGTATCTCAAGTATGGAGATATCAAAAGTACCACCACCAAGGTCATAAACCGCCACCACCTTGTCACCAGTCTTGTCCAATCCGTAAGCAAGTGCGGCAGCAGTCGGTTCGTTAATGACCCTCAGCACGTCAAGTCCAGAAATTTTTCCGGCGTCTTTTGTCGCCTGACGTTGAGAGTCATTAAAGTAGGCGGGCACGGTAATCACGGCGTGATTGGCTTTCCTCCCTAAATAGCTTTCGGCAGTCTCCTTCATTTTTGTCAAAACGAAGGCACCCATTTGTGATGGAGAGTAATTTTTTCCTGACGCATGTACCCAAGCATCTCCGTTCGAATGTTTGATAATCTTATAGGGAACCGATTTGGAGTCGTGTTGAACAATCGGATCCTCAAACGAACGACCTATTAACCTTTTTGCAGCGAAGATCGTATTCTCGGGATTTACCACCGCCTAGATTATCACCAATTTAACCAAATGTTAGCATTAAAGATTTTGCACGCGACATGGGAATGGGACGTGTGTAGATATAAGGTACCTGACGTTTAGCTGCCTGGCCCACCAGTAATTCACCGTCCTTTGTGAATCCAACTATCGAGGGAGTCGTTCTTGCTCCTTCTGCATTCTCAATAACCTTTGCATTCTTGCCTTCCATGATAGCGACACAAGAATTTGTCGTGCCCAAATCGATACCTATCACCGGTCCACTGACATTGTTACTGTATAATCGATGATGACTCAAAAAGGTTCCAAAAGTCGGTAGATATAAAAAAAAAAAAAAAAAGAAAGAAAAAAAAAAATTTTTTTTTTTTTTTTTTTTTAGAATATCCTCGTGACGTGACAAACCGTAGATTACATTACATACCACAGACCGCCATGCTCTAGACGTGATAGGTACGGAACGAACGCACTTGGTTAAACCAGACATTAATATTGTATCTTTTGGTATCCTTCAAAGGAGGTTTTTAATAGAGGCAAACCGTTGTGATCGTAAGAGGGTTCGTAAAAACGATTACAACGTATAATACACCATTTGCATATATATAGTATGCGTAGATACATATCAAAAAAAAATTTTTTATAGATCGATCGAAGATCTAATTCCATAACGGGCAATAAAACTCGTGTTGCGATGCTTACGTAAAAAGCTAAATAAAAGAATTTGATGGAACTTTGAAGAACAATCAATTTTTTAAATTCTTGTGTATCATATGATCTCGTCCTAAGAAAAAAAAAAAAAAAAAAAAAATGGCACAGCCGGATTTATCGATACCCGAAGATGAAGTTGACGAGTCCACTGACACTGAGATGAGTGAAGAAGAGGAAGGTCCCAAAAATCCAGAAGAGCGGATCGAAGATATTTTGGCATTCTTTGGGAAAGACAGGTTTAGACTTTTTAGGGTAGTCGAATTTCGTCTGGACCATCGATAATATCTCAATTTTTCGGTATTTATGTAAAAACAAAAGAAAAGGTGGCGGAGATAAACCGTTGAAGCTTGGTGGGATGAAAGCAAATAAAACCACTGAATCGAATCAACAACAGGAAGATCTGCTAGAAGAATCTTTGCAGGAATTGAAGAAAGCCTTGGAAGAAGAGAGGAGCACATCAAGGTTACTGACACATGACCGACTTGTTTTACACCGAGTCACGTGATCTAACAGGGCGATTGATTCGACCGTACAGCCGAAACATATGCAAAGGAATATGGTACAGTCCGCCGGTCAACAAGGTCTTGGTCACCGTTATCCGCGGAAATAACTTTCATAACATGGGCCATTCGATCAATGGGCAACATTGGTTGTATTTAGAGGAAGCCTTGTTCTTACTAGAACGTGGGGCGCTGACTGCCGAATTCCAAGGGGTGCCCGTGTCAATTCAACAGGCTTATATGTTGATGATGCGCGATAGTGAATTGACGCTTGAGAAATATCAGGTTCGTTCTTGTTGAACGGAGGGAGCGACGGTTTCGTGCGAGTTATTCCTAATATCATGATACGCGCGTCCTTGGTCCAGGTATACGCGTATCTGAAGAGAATAGGATACACGGTCATGAGACCATCATTAACCGCAATCTCACAAGACCCATCATCGTCTTCGCAAGGTTTGAATGATGCACTTGTCTTCTGCCACATGTTTATAAAAATTTCACTATCGTTCACCCTTCATTCGCTCGTTTCGAGAGACCAAAGGTGATTCGGAAAGCGTGATCACGACAAAAAATGCTTCCAAATCGTGGTACCTGGATCAGCTCGTTTATTTATTACGGTTGCCTTTCACCTACATCGTTCGAAATCTTTTTTTCAAAATTTTCCCCTCCTCTCCTTCGACTCCCCCGATCACCCCACTGGTTGAACCTGGGTCATGTGACACGTATGGTTTGTATCTCGCTTTTTTTTTTGTTTTTCACCTATTCGCCAATCTGACCACACTCTCCTATTCACATCCGTAACCCTCATGAAACCAAAAAAGATCAAGTATTCGATAAGCTCAGAATAATCCAAAGATTCGATGACACCGACCCGGATTTGACTCCCACCACTCATGGTCTGGACGACGAAGATGGTTATAAGGTGGACTTCTACGTGTACAAGAAATCGCCAGATCAAAAATTCAAAAAGAAATCTCCGGGCGAACCCTTATTTCGGGTGGTGGTTGCTAGGTACATGCGTGTGACTATTAATAGGCAACACTTCCTTTAACTAATTTTCTACTTTCCCTCCTGCATTCACGAAACGAAACAGCGCCAACGTACAACGTCCACCATCCCTGCAGTCACTAGACAGGCTGTTAAAGGAGGGTGGCGGTAATGATGGTGGCAGCTGTAGCAGTATATTATTTTCAATCATTGATGGCGCGAACGTGACATTCCTAGAATTCAAAGATGTAATGTTTACCAAGATAAAAGTTGATGTTATGGAGAAAAATTGATGTCGCCCAAAGCGCATTCATTAACAATGTCTTTGCAATGCCAACCAATTTTATTATGATTTCTTGCAAAATTTATTTATAATAAATTTAGTGATCAATGATAACCCCTCTATTGATATACATTTTGACGGTTCATACCAAGTGAACCGAAATGCAATTAAGTTAAAGAAATGCGTGCATTCGAGCATACATGTAAAGGATTTTCGTGTAAGTCGAATGAGCTGTTCACTAGTCACTTTCGTTCCAAGCGATCACGGCCATCATACCAACACCAATGAGCATCGCGAAAAATTCCGAACCCGCCTGCTTTATATTCTTTGTAAATTTGCCGGTTACCTCCAACAACTCCGGAATCACACCCACGGTCGCTATGTACAAGAACCCACCAGCCGTGAATGGTATTACCAAGTCGCCCAAAGTAGCACCGGTTCCCCAAATTCCAACTTCGTGATCCTGTGATGACGACGGAAGTCCATTGTCACCGTGACCAAGTTCCTCAATCGCGATTCCCGTCAATGTGCCAAGGAATGCTCCGATGGCCGTGACAAACTGTGAAAGCATGGCACGTCTCTTGGTGAAACCACTTTGAATCAGAATTGCGTAATCGCCAACTTCATGTGGAATTTCGTGGAAAAATACCGCCACAGTGGTGGTTGCGCCGATGCTCGGCGAGGAATAAAATGATGCGGCCATGGCAAGTCCATCGGTGAAGTTGTGCGTGGCATCTGCAATAAGGTTGAGATAGGCTGAAAGTTTGATGCTGGGTGATGGAGGTTTGGTGTCACCCTGTTCCTTTTCGACAACTTTGATTTTCTCGGATTTTCTTTGACGAAGTGTCGACGGATCGGAAGAATCCGGAGTTGACGTGCTGGTGCCAAGATCGGTATGATCGCGGTGATCTTCATTTGCGTGATTGTGCGAATGCGAATGAACATCACCGCCATTCGCTATGCGCATCACCTTGTCAATTACAAAGAATGTCATCAAGCCAAAAAAGATAGCCAAACCGATGACCACATTCTTTTTCTCGTCGACCTGAACGAAGTGAACCTCATCATCATTACTCTCGCCCAAGAATGAGTGCGGGAGAAGGTGCAGGAAAACATCACCCAGCAGACCACCCACGGCAAAGCTAACCAGAGTGTTTAGCGAGGAGGGCTCAATGTCGGGAGGCACAAAATAAAGAATGAAATTGGGTATGGAAGAAATGTATAGAGTGCCCAACAAAGAATTTACGCGTGGACTTCCCGGAAAAAGAAGAGCAAAAATTTGTCTTGTCAGATTATTCTCCACATTTGATCTCTCTTTCTTTTGTTTGCTAAGCTCCTGGATATAGGGGCATAGTTCCGAGGCCTGCCTATGATACTCGACGTGGTCGTGGTGGTCACTCGGTTTCTTTGAGAGGTAAGGACACTGAGAGGGATCAACGCCACTATCTATTGAAGGGTGCTTTCCCGTTTTTATTAGACTCGATAGATATTCGCATCCCGACGGAGGCACCTGTTCGGGACTACCGCTATCCGCAATTTTCGTTGATTCCGAAGCTGAGGCGCCGAAATACACCGCGAAGTATAATACTAAAGTGAAAAATAAAACATGAAGGCTCAGGAACCTTTTTCTCGGAACTGAATTTGCTATACGAATCATGCTTCTTGGATGCATCCAATTTAAAAAAAAAAAACGAAAAAAAAAATTTTTTTTTCTCTCTAAAAGTTATTTATTGAAGAACGCGTTGTCTACGCAAGAATGTGAATTTTACATATATACAAGAAGGAGCACATTATTTTTTACAACCCACGAGAGACATATTTTTAATTGTGCACCCTTAAATATCTATCTACCTACACTTTTATTACGAGTTCTCTTTTAAGAAAGAGATTTGTCCCACCGAGACCTCTCTTAGCTGGAGCGTTCTGATTGGATAATGCCTATTTCAATTCGATTCGATTACGTACGTCGGTACGTCATTTGAAATTTTTCCGCGCGCCGCGTATCTACCACCATTCGCTTCAAAAATTAAGGCATGGCTCCCCACATCGTTACGAAACCGACTATCGACGAGCTCTCGATCGCACTCGTGGATCTCGTGGTTGAAGAATCTAGGAAGGCCATCAATGCACGTGACAGATTCACCATTGGCCTTTCCGGTGGATCTTTACCAAAGGTTCTTGCAACGGACCTAAAGGACAGGGAGGACGTTGAGTGGGACAAGTGGCAGGTATTTTTCTGTGACGAAAGGTAAAAATTTCACCCCTCATAAGTAAGTGCGAAAAGCTATGAAGTAAAACTTTAGTGTTCCCTTTTCTTCAAGACTCGTTCCACTGGACAGCGAGGATTCCAACTACTTGTTATGTAAAAGAGAATTATTTGATCATGTACCCATTCCGCCCGAGAGGATTCACACCATCAACAATGAGTTGATACCAAAAGATCAAGACGCGTTTACCGAAGAGGTGTCGCAAGAGATAATTGACGATTACGAGAAACAGCTCATCGAAGTATTCGCATGCGTGAACGCGGTGAAATTCCCCGTCTTTGATTTGTTACTATTAGGTATTGGACCGGATGGACACACTTGTTCGCTGTTTCCTGGACATTCCTTGCTGGATGAGAGTTCCTTGTGGGTTGCTTACATCGAGGATTCCCCAAAGCCACCACCCAGAAGGATCACATTCACCTTACCGGTGATCAATCATGCTCATACTGTGGCCTTTGTTGCGACTGGAGCAGGAAAACAAGACGTCTTGTGCAAGATATTGGAGGAGGATGGAAAGGATTTACCTGCACAACTGGTCAAACCTTCTCACGGAAGGTTATATTGGTTCTTGGATGACAAGGCGGCTGCCAAGCTCACGAGCAAATGAAAGTCTGATTGAGTGACAAGTGGCAATAAAGAGATCGCGTTGTCTTATTTATTATAAATATCGAATTTTATATCTACAACGAACAAATGTCCAATAAACTTGAGTATTGTCTCCCGTTCCCGTCAGTCAATGAAAAAATCTATTGTTGGCACGTGACTGTATGGTGAATGCTAAGCTTTCTTCTGGAAGCGTTTTATTTATCCCCGAATAATTTATTACCAATAAAACTCTAAAGAATTTCTATATCACAAAATTTTAACATCACCGAAATTTAGAATTCAAAAAAAAAAAAAAAAAAAAAGTCAAAAATTTGTGCATCTTTTTTTTTGTTTATGATGAAATTTTGAGAATGTGTATGAAATAATAATGTTACATAATAAAGATAACAGACTACTTCTAGAAGGCCGGACGTACTTTTTTTTTTTTTTTGAAAAGAGAGTGAAAAAAGAAAAAGGATTAAACTAACCCTTATTTTTATAAAACTACCAAGTAATAAATTATGTACAAATCAACAACCATCATTCCAGAGAAAATATTGATTTACACTTGTCATACACCACGTATGTGATGGCTGCAGCTGGCATGACCTGGCAAAGGCGATAAGTTAATAAGTATCTTTAAATCGCGTATGCACAGCATTGATCGTCGCACGCTACCTTCGACAAGGCTGGAATCAATCCCTTGTAAAATCCGCGCATTTGTTCCTTGGCATAGGTTTTGCGGATGACGTCAAATGCCCCAGTGTACATCTGTGAATGTCCGGAGGTTCCCTGTGCTTGTAACCTGACGGAATGAACAGATGTGCACAAAATCAAATTTAAGAATAGGGAAAGGAAGGCGGATTTTCTCACATGATGATCACGTACCGCGTTCGCACAAGGGACAGAGGGTAGACGATGGTCGCGCCGACAGAACCTGAAATCATGCCACAACTCAACGACACCCAAGCACTCGGCTCCTTCCCTTTCAATTGTTCTTTCTCTCGTTTCAAATATGCCAATTTGAGCGTCTCGTAGACACTCATGTCCACAGCCGCGTACGGGAACACGCCTACCAACGACAGTACCAATCCCTTGTAAAATGATCGGAAGCCCTGCACCCGCCACATTTCCACCGCCGTATTCAACAGAACCTTTCCTTTCGGTGATGATGATGATGTTGTTGATGAGAACCCCCCTTCCGAACTCATGATACGTGTTTTCAAAGTCTCCAAGGGATATATGGCGAATTGCGATGTGACACCGCCAAATCCTCCCGACAAGAATCTTCCTGGCATCCCTATCGATCCAGTATCTTGTGCGCCCGTCAGCTGCGCGACGATCGCCTTTGATTTTTCGTAAGCGAAAAATTTAATTGCACTTTCGGGTGCGATCTTAGCAACATTAAGTCCATTCCCGCGAAAAAAATTCAAGATGCCTCCAGCATATATCTCTTTCACTGCATTCGTTAAACTGTTTGAACTTATCACGACTGCGCCTCGAGACAGTTTCCCGCCCGCATCAGAGACGACCTTGGGAACTGCCGTCTGAATTTGCAGGTAAACCTTGAGGCGATCCAGCGGGGCGGTAGCCGTCCGACTGACCGCACCCGCGATTGCGCCGGCAGCAAGGTACTTGGGGTTTGTTGATGGCATTGTGACTTCACCGTCAAGGCCGACCATCTGATAATACTCGTAGATTTCAAAGATCGTTGTGTCTCGGGGAAGCAGCTATCGTTCCATTTGGTTGGTGGTTTAGTTTTGTTTTTTGTTTGTTTTGATTTTTTTTTTTTTTTTCTTTTTTTTTTTCGAAATCCAAAAGCAAGAATTCGAAAGATCAAATCAATTTTCCTTAAATTTACCAGCAGAAAATCTCGCCACTCGGAGAAATCTATGACACCGTTGCCATCCTTATCCATGGTCTTTATAAATTTCTCTAATTCAGCCTTTGTGCAATGAATTCCTAGGAATCAGTGAGTGAACGGTCAGTTAACCCAACCAACGAATCAGCGATGCACTCGACTTGAATCATCTCACCAGCTTTTTTCAGAGCGACCTCCAATTCCTCGGGCTGTAATCGCATGTCATGAGAGCGGTCGATTTGCACAAATAGCCTCCACAATTCTTTTTCCTTTTCCTCCACGAAAGCTTTAAATTCTGCAAAGTCCACCACCCCGTCCGCAGAAGTGTCACATCTTTTCAACAGTTCAGAGGCATACTTCTTTCGGGCCGGATGATTTCGAAATTTCTTGAGTCCCCTCTGAATGTTATTTCGAGCCAGCACACCGGTCTTCTCATAATCAAATTCATCAAACAATTTCTTTATGCGTTCGATACGCTGCGTCTCGGTCTCCGGATAAATTTCTGTTCCTTGAGGCGAATGGGATTTGGTGGTCGTAGGTGGGTTGGTCTTATCAATTGCTGACGCCGTAATATCTGTCATCTTTCAGAGCAAATGTGTTTCAAGTAAGATGGTGATGATGATGAATGCATCGCAGTATGGAATAAATTTTTCCAAGGCGCGCATACGTATTTATAATTTCTAATCATTGAAACCCACGTGATCAATATTTAAAATTTTTTGTGCCACGTATCAGCGAATCATCTCTTGACAAAACTCGTTTGCCGATCGTGTAACCGAATTTATCACATATAATTATCTCGCGCAAAAAGGTTCTAATAGTAACGCACGTCCACGTATTTTTCGCTGGAAAAGCTAAAACGCTTGAAGGAGAAAGCTATCAAAAATCAATTTTCTTTGCGGATCACCGAAAGAACCCTTGATAAAAGTAGAAAATGGTTAAGCACACGGTTATCGCTCGCATTTCTGATGGTGAGTTTCCTCAAAATTTTTCCTCTTTCCTACACAGGATCTGAAATTTTGAGGTTGCACGTAGGTCTTCCGTTGGCGGCCTCGGTTGATGACGACCAGGTAGGGAAATTTTCAATTTGTAAAAGTGCCACTGGTAAATGGGTGGGATCCACTCGACGTGGTTGGTTTTAAGAGAAGAATGGTATATTAATATCGATAATTTTAATCCTTGTCAATCAAGAACGGAGAGGCGGAGCTCGTAGACATTAAAAACAAGACGAAGCTTCTCTTTAAAAAAATGAACGAGAATTCCGAGGAGAGATGTTCCATCGAGTCCGGCAGTTATTTTTTCCAGTATGTACCGACTTTCGGTGGAATTCGATTTGAAGTTTTAGTTTTATTTTATTATTATTATTATTTTTTTTTGAATTCATTTTTTGATTCAAGTATTTTGAAGTTACCTGATCCAGAATGGTGTTTGTTACATGACAATCTGCGAGCGGTCTTACCCTCGCCAATTCGCATTTAGCTATCTCGAAGAGTTGGCTAAGGAATTTTCGACGAGTTATGGGAACGAAGTCGAAAAACCAACTTTGAGACCATACGCATTTGTCAAATTCGGTATATCAAATTCCGACTTAATAAGAATTATTCGGTAAATGCGTGCGTTCCAAGCGTTCGATTATAAACTCCGGTTTTTCATTTGTCATCAGATACCTTCATGCAAAAGACCAAAAAGTTGTATCAGAATACACGAACGCAAACCAACCTCGATCGACTAAACACCGAATTGAATGAGGTAGCCAATATAATGACCAAAAACCTGGAGAATGTATTGTGGCGTGGCGAAGGATTGGAAAGTGAGTGGGCGAGATATGTTGGAGGATTGACGACCTACAAATGACTAAATCTTTCCTTCACTCTCTTATTTTATCTCCCTTTTCCGGAAAGAAATGAGTTCTCTCTCCGATCAACTTCGTTACGAATCCCAGAAGTACAAAAAGTCAGCGCGAGACCTCAATTGGCAACTTTTTTATCGCAAGTATGGACCGATAATAGTCGTGGTTATGGTTTTCGTATGTGTAATCTATTGGCGATTCTTTTGGTACTAGAATCATAATTTGAATTGATCGAGTAATCACTAAAGGTAAGCCGAGCGAACATGAAAGAAAAAAAAGGAGATATTTATATTTATATTGATGAGGTGAACTTGACGATTTGCGGGAACCGAGTCAGCGTGGTGGATGGTTATTGAAGGGTAATGGCAAATTCGGGTGGAATTTATTTAACTGACGAGGCAAATTAACTAACATAAAAGGCCACATCACAACATGCGTTGGGATGAACAATTCCTTATTTTCCTATGTACTGAAGTTCATTCGATGCACAAACTATTCATATAAAATTCAACTCTTATAGAATTTAAAATCTTTTGATAAAAGAGCAGGACTTAAAATAAGCACTATTTAATAAAAATCAAGTTTATTACAATGTGCAAGATTAATTGTCTCCTAGGATTTGTGGCCTGAGATCGGTGAACCAAAATATAAATTTCAAACATAATCATCGCCTCAATTTAAAATATAATGTCGAGGAGAGGGGTAGAGGGAGTGTGGAAGGTAGAAAAGATACGCTTGAGACAAGGGAAAAATGAGCGTAGTTTTTGTTTAACGTGATTTGAAGTAATCCAACAACACGTTCCTCGCTTCGGAATCCTCGCCGTAATCTTTCACGACAACGCACGAGCACGCGACCACCTTACGCGGATTACCTTCACGATCGATCTTGCAAAGTCCAGCCCACTCGCCCAACTTCTTTGCGTCGCTAACCTTGATCAAGTGAATATTGTGTTCCGAACATAGAGCCTCAACAAGCTTGAGATATTCCTTTTCTGAGCACGACTCGGCAAGAACGCATAAATGAGCCTGGCGCCTGTTTTGGGGGGGATGGATGATTCGGTTTGTAAGGGAAGGGCGAAAATGAGAACACCCTTGGATTCAAAAAAAAAATTTTTTTTTGAAAAATTCACCTATCCAAAGCCTTGGCGCATTCTCTCAGACCGCGTGCTAAGCCGTCAACGACGAGAGCACGCTTTAAAACATCTTGCAGTGCTTCTTCAACCGTCTAAAATTAATCAAGATTAACTCTGGTTTCTATGCCAGTTGGAATTGCAACGTAGATAATTCATTCCATCCTACAGTACCAGTGCACCTTTGGCCGGAGTATCTGAAGTAACATGGACTTCTTCTTCCATTGCTCCCGTGTCTTGCGACTCATCACCGATATCGCCCCCCTCGTCATCATCTCGGTCTGACATTGTCTTTTTATTTCACGATAAAAGAAATGAAAACTTTTTCTTGGCAATCTTAGACGTCCTCACTAGAGAAATGAGATGTTGAGAAGTCGATGTTATGTCGTCCCATTAAATTTCAAAAAAAAAAAAAAATTGCGAATTAAATAAAAGATAGATTTTATTTATCATTGCAAAAAAAAAATTCAGAAAAAATTAAAATTTCAAGGAATAAAACAATACGTCGATACGAAATTCATGTTTTGATGTATGTGTAATGGATAACTTGTTTACTTTAAATTACTAAAACTCTTACATGATGTTCTCCCCTTCACGAAAGAATGGCTACTTGGATTTTGAAAGAGATCGAAAAATTTTTTGATGCTACCTAAAATTTATCATGATCGGTGCGTAACCATAAATTATCACGTGATCATCATTCTTAATTTAAATACTCTTTTATAATGTTTATACAATACAGTATATCACTCCTTCACTATAATCAAAACAAATTCACAGTTTCATGCATCCTGAAAGTTGTAAGATCACCGTTATAGCAATTTACCGAGGACCACATACATTTTATTACTTTCATTAAAACATTCAATCCGTCTAGAAATTTGGAAATCCTTGATGCTGTTGATGACGTCCACGTCCAGGCCTACTTGCACTGGTCGCAATATTGAACTTGTCCACAAGCTATTCGTTTATAATATTTGAGTCATCAGACCGTCCACCCGAACCAAAAAACATATATGTACGAATATAAGAAATACCTCATTGATGGAGTTCGTTCCTTTGGTTATTGTTGCCAAGTATGAGGTTAACAGAACATCATTGTATTCCTGTGAATCCAAAAGAATGTTAGAAATGACGGTCAACGGAACCTCTTTTTTGTGAACATTGGAAACAGTTCAAACCGTGAGGAATTCTTGCTTGAAATCTAAACTGTCAATGGTAGGCAGGCGATTACAAAGGCCAGCAATCTGACGAAGAATGTCATAATCGACTGGTGCTTGATCTGTACGCGTTAATAAATTATTTAGGACGCGTAAAATTTAATGTCAACCTTGTTCTGCTCTTTAATCTATATCGCGGAAACTTACTACTGTTGGCCAAGTCAAGGTATTGATGAAGCAGTTTTATTCTGGTGTGCAGCATTTGGATAGCATTCCTTTGGGTGGTCAGGTGTGCGATAACTAAAGGTTGGGGGAAATCAAGAAAATTCTAAATCAAGGAAGTCATGATTAAGAATAAATTGGATGATCAAGTAATTGTCACCGTCAGGTACTCACGAGAAGAGCCCTCTCCTCCCTCCCCGAGAACCGTGTGGGCAACGTGATCGACAGCGATGCGTTCGGCCTCACCGGTCTCGATTTTATATTGCGACTTGATGAATAATGTGTGCGCTTGTCCGTCGATAATATCAATTATCGATTCGTAAACCGTGATGGGAAGATTCTTCGAAGTAACCATTTCGAAAGGATTCATTTGAAGGAAAAGCGGACTCTCATTAAATTCCATCATCTGCTCATCAACATCAAGTAGTTTTTTTGTTATTCGACCGATCCAACTAACATCGTAAATAAATAAAAAAATTAGATAAAACGCGATCGCTCACCTGCTTGTGAATTTCAATATCCGCCTCGGTTGGATATGGACCCATCGTGTACCAGCCCAAGAAATCAAATTTCGGGAAAACCTGGTTGACTGTGTTGAGCGAACCGATTTGAAGGTTAACGAGTTTTTCTCGATGGCGGTGACGCTTGCCCAAGGATTTCAATCTTACACTGTTCCGATTTTGTTAAAAAGTATTCGTGGTTCACAACCACCTTCCCATCGATGATATTAAATTCCAGTTCATAAGAATTCGTAATTTCGACATCACGGCCATTCTGAGTGCCCACTAGTGCACCGATTACTTAATAATGAAGATTGATTACGATCTAGTCGAAGTAGAACTACACACACATGCGCATATTAAGCAAAGTGGTAAGTAAACCTTGTGGATTCTGAATTTCCTGCTGCATTTTGACGCGGGTGAAATGATCCGATATGTTCAGTAATGTCAATGGATGTCTGTGTCGAGATCAAATTATTAAAGGTCGTTTTGTGACTCTATCAAACTACATGTTTCCAAGAAAGGTAACGCTTACAAAGCTACCATTAAGCCGGAATTGTTAGGTGCATTTGATACCACAGAAGAAACTGACGATTGAGAAGGTATCTCCTCGTCAGGCGTTGTGATGTCCATTTTGGTAGTCATTGTCGTTGAAATTCCACAGGCCAAAGATAAAAAGTGGCAGTTACGTTTCTGTGGTGCACAAACAAAACCGATACC